GAAGCGGTCTACGTTTGATTTGCTATTCAGACTAAACTCGTTGAGTCTACCCTCTATCGRTTCAAACCCGATTGAAGAACTTTACCTCATATTTATAATTTGGTCCCCAATGTTTACATACAATTTTTTCTAAGTTTAGATTACCTGGCTCCCARAAAAATTAACTATATCTCCAAATGAGCCAAGTTATTTTCTTTTTCTTTTAATTAAAATAGCGTGAATATTCAATGTTTAAAAGATACTAACCAATAAATAATATTCTTAAAACACCCTAATTTCAATAGTGCATTACTGCATATGGAGTTTGATTGAAGATATTTTTATACTTTAAACACTGTTTCTACGAATATCGGAAGAAGGAAGCTGACCTCCAAGTACCTGTAAAACAAGGTTAGCACTCCGACGAGCAAGTTAGTCTCGGTCTGATCTAATGCTTCAAGTGAGAGTAGATTCGCGTTCCTTGTTTATGTGACAGCCATTTCCATTTATAGGGATGAACTCCGACAAGACTCCCGATAGCGCTCTAACGGTCATCTGATAACCCGTGAAATGCGGCGTGTTGTCGGGAAACGCCTCTGTTGCCTTTGCTATTGTGGACATCATCAATAGGTCAGCTCGTACCTGCGACAGGTCGACCAAAATAGAGAAATAGCTCGGCTCAAACAAATTATGTCGACCTAATTGAACTTGCATCAATCTGCAGGTTTTCAGTAAGTTCATCTTCTTAAACGTTGACACATGGCAATCGATAAATGGACTCCAACAAATACAAAAAGCAAAATTTCTCACGAGAATGAAATTATGTTATGGTTTTGTGTAGGATTTTAAATTATGAGGTTATTTATTGAAAAGGTAAAATACATGGAAGTTAGGGATTGTTTTTGTAATTTGACAAAATATTYAAGGGATTTCAACCCGCTGCAATATACACTTTAAACTACTATATATACACTTATTTATTTTGTACAATAAATGTGAGGACAAAATATTGAACCTCTGAAAAGAACAAAATATTTTAACCTATGCTGATGTTAACACATAAACTTTAAACTAATTAGACTTTATTAGTTAAACCATTAATAATTTAAAAATTCTTGATGTAATTAATTCATGTAGTATACATTCTTAAAGAGCATGGAAGATAGATGGCATCAAAATCATATAGACCCAATGTTTTATGGCTTTGAAATTTAGCTAATAATTCAAAACGTGTTCTTGAGAAATGTGATATAAAATGTACTAAAAACATTGCAAGGAAGCCAGGATAATTAATTATCATTAAATTATGCTTTTTTTTTTCAGTACAACGTGTTGGGGAAGGGATTCAAACTCACAATCTCTTGGTTGAAGTATATGTCAATTATCGCTAAGCTATRCTTGCTTTGGCGAAGTCAATATAAATTTTAAAAACATAAAGTTAAATAATGAAATTGTTATTAAATGAASCTCGTAGATTGTGTTGATTTTATGAATTCTCTTTGAGTTAGATGCACCTTTTTTCATTTTTTTTTTAATAATTTTTTTTAACTCTTCAACATTCTTTTGACAAAATTCGAAAAATTGAGTTTGTAATTTCTTCCAACCCATGAAGATCTTTAATTAAATACCATCGCTATTTAAATAATTAGAGGGAAAATTGTAAAATAGTAGGTTGTCTAAATTATATTTTTTTAATCTCTATATTTTAAGCTTACCTTCAATTTAGTCGCTGTAGTTAATTTTCGTTAATAATTTGATTAAGGTAACTTCACATACAAGTAATAAAAACTTATAAGTGAGCGGAAACCTGTCTTAGAGATTGAACGTTGACTTATCTTATTGYCGTTCGGCACACGGTTCCCACTAGCATCGATCCATGGCTTCRGAAAATCGAAAAAGCGAGCCCCGAGAAAATCGAAGGGGGAGTGAGAYCGCAATTCGATAGAATCAAGGTCGGACCGGAGAGGGAACCTCGAAGGGCACCCAACAACATCAACTTCCCGTATTAGATCGTCTTTTTTAAATTATTTGTAGTTTTTGTTAAGAAAAAGTATTTGTAGTTGTACTCCAGAAGAAGTTACAAAGATATAATAAGTAGTATTAGTTACGTTTCAAACCTTATACGATTAGTTATTATTTGTTGTCCTTTCTACTTTTCAATCAAATTATAATGTTTAAAAATCTAAATATATTGTTTTCAACAAACACGACTTGCGTATACCTTCCACATCAATAAAGTAAAATGATATGGTCTTTAAGCTCGTTTTTTAGGTAACTCTTATTCGTGAACATAAATTCATCATTTATTTGTTTATTTATTTATTCAATCCATGCCGTGACTGAAACATAAGGGACTATGCAGCGTTTTGTTAATTTCTAAGGGAAAAATCAATCTTCACTCTAAACTTTCATTTTTATTAAATTAAACCAGGATAAAAATCTCTCAACATTCATTAATTTCAATCAAAATTAAGTCTTGCACAAAACTAAACGAAGTTCCATCAATGTCAACCAAATAAATGTCTCAAAAATTAAAAGAAAAAAAAGGTTATAGCATACATCAATTTTGTATCATACCCATGTTTTATAATTCATTAAAATTAAAGCTTTTAAGGTAAAGATTACAACATTCATCCAAGTTTAAAATTCAATCTAATGAAATTGAAAGTCGAATTGAAATTAAAGACTCCAATTCAGTTATCAAGGTGAAAATGAAAAAGATGATTAAAAAAATATCGAGAGCAATTAATTTAATTTTTAAGTTCAACAAAAACCATCAAATTATATATAATGGTAGCGAGTATCTTATTCGCGGAATTATATAAAATATGAAATCGGATTAGTGGTAAGGTTAAGTTGAGCAATACTAATTAAAAAAAAAAGTTAATGATGAGAGAGAGAGAGAGAGAGAGGTGGGTTTGGTGAGGTCACATGAAGAGAGAGAAAGTTTGAGTAATTAAAACGACAAATGGAAGTGCGTGGCAGTTCACCTAAAACTAAAAACTTTTTCTACCACGGCCGATAGCCCGTGACCCCCTCCCAAACCTCTCTCCTCCACCGGCTATTCCCGGTCATTCCTCCACCGCTAAAAACTAGAACTCCTTTTGACTTTTTACTCTCCTCGCTTCCGCCCCACTCGCGCCATCCACTCGCGTGCATTTCACGTCAAATCCCCCCTTCATTAATATAATTATTATATTCTCTCTATTTTTTTATATATTTTAAGTTTGTCGAGAGATCTTTGTGATCTCGAATTATTTAATTACTAATTTGACGTCTTTAATGTGATTGGATAGACCAAGGTTTTCAATCTAACTAGCATATTTAAATACCATCAATTGTGAAAACAAATAAAAAATCACTTTCTATTGAGTGAAATTTAACCTTGTAGATTTAATTATGTAAATTAATACTTTTCCACGATTTGGGGTTAGCTTTCTCAACTTAACAAATTTTTTAATGGCTAAATTACCAAAAAAAAATGAAAAAAAAAACTCATTTGTTTCAAAAATATCATTTGAATAGTCTTAGAACTTCAGTTTTCTTTCTCAGTTTGTCACATTGTCTACCAAATTTTGTTATAATCCTCACTTTTAAAAACGATAATCTCTTCTACATTTTCTCTCTTTTCAGGTTCAATCCAATCGAACAAACACATGCGAAGAAATAGTAGCTTCATCCTTTATTGAAGTATATATATTTCAATTGGATCATTTGGATAAATTTTTTTTTCTTTTTTACTTAAATGTATATTTAGGTTATACAGGCCATCTTCTCAACAAAAAAATAATAATAAAATAAAGGGTTATATTTGAATTTACAAAACATTTAAAAGTTGTAACTACAATCATAAATTACATTTTTAGTCCCAATACTTTAAAAAGTTTTAGCATCATCTCTATCATTTGAATAAAACATACCACCAAATATTTATGGCATTAGTAAACAGTAACAAAAACCAAACATACCACATTATTTGTAGTTACTGTTGAAAAGAAGTCACACGAATCCAAAAGACATTATCCAATGCACTCCAAGACAAAATTAGGCCTACCCACTATGCTAAATTCTACCCAAAATAATACCTTAAAATCCAACCGAATTTTATTTTATCAATCAATGTGACTTGCCTGACTTATTAAAACAAAATATCACATGAAAATTTCTCTATCACTCTCTCTATTTCCATAAAAAAAGCATGCCTATTATGGAATGAACATAAAAATGAAATTGAAATTAAGTTTAAAGCATAAAATGCAAAAAAAAAAAAAAAATTAACTTAGCCCATAGAAATAAGTCCCTAGGTTTTAATTTCAATTTAGTCTCTGTGATTTAAAAATTTCGATTTAATCCTTATAATTTGGCCAAACTTATAAATTGTTTTTGTCATTATAATATCGAACACAATACACCATATTTTTTATTTACATGACAATCTATTCTATTTGATAAACTACATTAGCGGGTTGTTTATAGAACTGAGGGTCCAGTAAAAAACATTAGAATCTCGAGTAAAAATTGTTGAAAAACAATATATACATTTTTTTTAAAAACAAACAATCTATAAAGTTTAACTAAATTTAAAATTTTAAGACTATAGACACTAAACTAAAACTAACCCAAGCCACCAGAATCAAATTGAAAGCGATAAAATTATAAGTCCTTGAGGGGCAGCCCAATTGACCATGATTTGAGATCTTTTGCTTAGAGGTCTCAAGTTTAAATCTTTCGATGAGTTTAATAGCAAAAATATTTTGATATTTCTCGAGTCCGAACCTTGGGATAGGCACGGGTATCCTGAATATAGGAAAGTAAAGCTCTGACTCCCGGTTATTAAAAAAAAAACAGTAATAAAGAGAAATAATTCGTGTGAACACGTGCATGGAGTAAGCGTGGGAGTAGGAAAAAAGAAAACTCACCTCGTTTCTTGCGCTTCCAACTCCGTCTGACTTTGGCTTCTCTCTCTCCTTTCTGCAATTTCTTCCAGAGAGAGAAAAGAAACAGATCCATGTCCCTGCTGTGCTGACAATCACAAACAAAAAGGCAATAGTGAGAGAGAGAGAAACTCGTAAACCGTGAATTTTTCCAAAGGAACAAATTTTGATTGAGGTCAGCTCTGTGTGCGTCTTTCTTTGGGAAAAAGCTCACTGATTTGATTATAAAACCACAGCTTCCTCGCTGTGCTCCTTCTGGGTTCGCCATATGGACAATGTGTGGAAACTTTTTTGCCCCAATTTTCAAAACCCAGATTTCACATTTCACATTGTTTCTCGGGACTCTAACCCCAGATTTCTCTCAGCAGAAGACAACCCCACAAAATAAGGCGTTTCTGGAGCTAAGCTAGCTACTGGGAACAAATCCATTTGTTTATTTGTTTCTCTCTTCTTCGGTTTCAGCTTTCAAGCTTCTTCTTCTTCTCTTGGGATCTGCTTCTCACGTGATTTGGGCATATGGGTTTCAAGTTTCTTCGTTTTCGAATACCTCTGTTCTCTTAAATTGCTGCTTTCTTTTTTCTGGTGTGAGCTGCTGAAGGATCTTTCGGGTTGAAGTTCAATTCTGGGTTTCGTCCATTACTGTTATCGGGGAACGGTATGATATCAACTAGGGATTGGTGATTTCAGCTTTATTTTAATTGGAACTTTTCTCCTTTTGCTTCTTTTGCAAGTTGCCCAACTTGGGATTCTCCTCCTCATATCAGAGAGTTTGCAAGATTTCTTTATTTGGATTGATTCCTCTCATCTCTGAAAAGCCTAGTGTGGCAAAATCACAGAAAATGAGTCTTGACTAGGTCTGCAGTGGGCTCTGCTTTTGATTTCAACATGAGATTCTCAGAGGTGATGGTGCTAAATCTAGTCAAAATGACCTTTCAAACATGGATAATCTTGACTTGCTTGCTTTCTTTTTCCTTGGGTCTGAAACCGCCTAATCAAATCGTCTGTGATCCAAAAGATTTGTTGGCGTTGAGGGGCTTTGTGAAAGGCCTTACAAATAGCTCTATTCTCTCTGTTTGGTTGAATGAATCCAGCTGCTGCAGTTGGGATGGTGTCGATTGTGGATTTTATGGCAACACCTCTCTCACTGACAGAGTGACCAAGTTGGTACTGCCTAACATGAATCTGAAAGGGAAGATTTCACAATCGCTTGCTGGTTTAGATCAGTTAATTTGGTTAAATCTGTCGTACAATCAGCTTGAAGGAGGATTGCCAACAGAATTCTCAAGCTTGAAGCAGCTCCAGGTTCTCGATTTGAGCTACAATAAGCTATCAGGACCAGTCACCAATGCAACTTCAGGGTTGAAATCTGTCCGTATTCTGAATATTTCCAGCAATTCATTCGCTGGGGATTTTCCCCAGCTTATGGGATTTCAAAATATAGCTGCCTTCAATATAAGTAACAATTCTTTCACAGGCGAGGTTTCTTCACAGATTTGCAATTCCTCCAATGTGATTCAGGTTGTCGATATATCACTGAACCGAATATCCGGTGTTCTTCAAGATATGGAGAATTGCAGCAAATCCCTCAAACATTTCCGTGCAGACTACAACTTACTTACCGGAAATCTTCCAGATTCTTTGTATTCATTATCGTCTTTGGAGTACTTCTCGATCCCTGGGAACAGCTTATTTGGCCAATTAAGCATGGAACTGAGTAAGCTTTCTAGGCTTAAATCCTTTATAATATTTGGAAACAAGTTTTCTGGTGAACTTCCAAATGTGTTTGGTAATTTTTCAGAATTACAGGAGTTAGTTGGACATTCTAACTTGTTCTCTGGAATATTGCCTTCATCTCTGTCATTATGCTCAAAACTCCGAGTGTTTGATCTTAGGAACAATACTTTAACTGGTACTATCGATCTCAATTTTTCTAGATTACCAGATCTCCAGATGCTTGATCTAGCCTCTAATCACTTTTCTGGGGCTCTACCAAATTCTCTATCCGATTGCCATGAACTGAAAACTCTCAGCCTTGCCAAAAACAACTTAACCGGTCAAATTCCTCGAGATTACTCGAAGCTTTCCTCTCTGACATTTCTATCTTTGTCGAACAACAGTATTGTAAACTTGGGCGGTGCATTATCTGTTCTACAGAATTGCAAAAACCTGACCATTCTTATTCTTACAAAGAACTTCCGTAATGAGGAAATTCCACAAACTGCAACTGTTTTCAATAATTTAACGCTTTTGGCATTTGGTTATTGTGGTCTGAAAGGACCAATTCCTGGTTGGTTACAAGGTTGCAAGAAATTAAGTATCCTCGATTTGTCTTGGAATCACTTAAATGGCAGTATCCCTCCTTGGATTGGTCAGCTGGAGAATTTGTTTTATTTGGATTTATCCAACAATTCTCTGACAGGAGAAATCCCAAAAAGTTTGACACGGATGAAAGCACTAATTTCCAAAAACTGCAGCTCTTCCAGTTCAACATCATCCGCTGGAATCCCCCTTTTTGTCAAAAGAAATCAAAGTTCTACTGGTTTGCAATACAACCAGGCGTCAAGCTTTCCACCATCGATTTACTTGAGCTACAACAGAATAAATGGAACTATTTTACCAGAAATTGGAAGATTGAAATGGTTGCATGTCTTGGATTTGAGTCGAAATGATATTACTGGGTCCATCCCGAGCACTATATCAGAGATGGAGAACTTGGAAACATTAGATTTGTCAAATAATGATCTTTATGGACGAATTCCTCCATCATTCGACAAGCTCACATTCCTGTCAAAGTTTAGTGTGGCAAATAATCACTTGGAGGGACCAATTCCAAATGGAGGACAATTCTTAAGCTTTCCCACCTCAAGTTTTGAGGGCAATGCAGGACTTTGCGGGGAAATTGATGACCCTTGTCACTCTGTTAATGGATTAGGAACAAAACCCGAAACCTCCACTGGTTCAAAGAGAAAAATTGGTAAAAGCGTCATTCTTTGCCTTACAGTCGGTGCAGCTGCAGCAGTCCTCCTGCTCCTTACAGTGGTTCTACTCAAAATGTCCAGGAAAGACGTTCGAGATCAAAATAACAGTTTCGATGAGGAGTTTAACACACGCGACAGGTTATCTGGAGCTCTCGGATCATCAAAGTTGGTGCTCTTTCAAAATTCAGAATGCAGGGATCTTACGGTATCAGAGTTGTTAAAAGCTACTAGCAATTTCAACCAGGCAAACATAATCGGTTGTGGTGGATTTGGCCTGGTTTACAAAGCCAACCTTCCCAATGGTTCAAAAGCTGCAGTCAAGAGGCTTACAGGAGATTGTGGTCAGATGGAGCGGGAATTCCAAGCTGAAGTAGAAGCTCTTTCTCGAGCGCAGCATAAGAACCTTGTTTCACTGCAAGGTTACTGCAAACATGGAAATGACAGGCTACTAATCTACTCCTACATGGAGAATGGAAGCTTGGACTACTGGCTCCATGAGATTGTTGACAATGAGTCGATACTAAAATGGGAAGCAAGACTCAAAATCGCACAAGGTGCTGCTCATGGATTGGCTTACCTGCACAAGGAATGTCAGCCAAACATAATTCACCGAGACGTAAAATCAAGCAACATACTTCTAGATGACAGATTCGAGGCTCATTTAGCTGATTTTGGTCTTTCGAGATTACTCCGGCCATATGATACCCACGTTACCACGGACTTGGTTGGGACTTTGGGTTATATTCCTCCTGAATACAGCCAAACATTAACTGCAACATGCAGGGGTGATGTGTACAGTTTTGGAGTTGTTCTTCTTGAGCTCCTTACTGGTCGGAGGCCAGTAGAGGTATGCAAAGGAAAAGCCTGCAGGGATCTAGTGTCTTGGGTGATTCAGAAGAAATCAGAAAAGAGAGAAGAGGAGATTGTTGATCCTGCAATTTGGGATACAAATAGCAAAAAACAGATTTTAGAGGTTCTAAGTATTACTTGTAAATGCATAGACCAAGATCCAAGGAAGAGACCTTCGATTGAAGAAGTTTCTTCTTGGCTAGATGGTGTTACAATGTAGGTTTCTCATACTAAACAATTGGTTTGCATTTCATCCCTCCACATCTGATATTTGGATAATGTAAAGCAACACCGTTGTAATCAATCCTACCAGGCTGGGGGAATGAGGGTACAAAGGAAGGAGAATGTTCATAACTTAGTGACCTTTTTTCTTTTTTCGGAGTGGGGTTGTATACTTGTAGCTGTAATTGATACCAAAAAAACTTCTTGTAATATGTTTTACTGTTTAGAATGGGCATGCTTAGAGTGCCTTCCAATCCAGTTCAGCTTTCTATGGTTCTCACTTTCTGAATGTGGTTGAATGTTGCCTGCTGGAACCCCTCTGATTATAAAGCTTTTATTGTGCAGGTTGGACAAAATCAAAAAAATTATTGAATGGGTTAAATTCTTCAGAGATTTCATTTAGGCAGGAATGGATCTTCCATACTAAATTCAATAATCAACAGTTCATACTCCAACTAGAATAAATAATCGCTCAAAATATGCCGAATCTCAACCTTTTAAATCCAAAAGCTGCCTGATCAATCCCAATCATCGATTCTTTCTTCACTTATCTTAGAAGTTTCTTTTATATTTCCTTCCGATAATATGTCCCAAAATATGGCAATATACTCAGCATTCAATAATATCTTTCCACTAAATTCCAGAAGAAGATTCAAAATGTCAGAGGAGCAGTATTTCCACGCAATCAGAAAGCTTTGGATCTACAAAATACCAACAAAGTTCGATATACCTATCTATCTATTAGTAATCACAAAGGGTGATCTAACTCACTTGACTTCAGTGAACAGAACATGACGTTTTTCAAGAGGGTCATATTTCTGGAGCTGAATCTTGTCAGCCATGTTCTTGCTCTTCTGCTTCACATAGAAAAAGCCAGTCCCCGCAGCCGAGGAGAGTCGGACTATTTTGAAATCTCTCTTTCTCCCTTTTCTCCTCGTCTTCTTTTTCTTGCCTGGATCACCACCCCTCTTCCTACTCAACCTCTGCATTTGAATGCAATTGATAAGTTAGCCACATGATCATTCCTTCCCCTACATACAAAACTCCACAGAAATCTATACCTTACGGTTGACACCTGATTGAAAATCATGAATCAACAGTAACATTTAACATAACAAACAAATTGCAAAATACTGTTCCCAGTGATTTAGTTGGTTCACTTTTGCATAACGTACAAACTAAAAAGTTGGAACAGAAAATGTACCAAACTTCACAGCAAAATAATCCCAACAGAAGTTTTATCAGGTTTCGCTGTCAGCCAGTCATCTCATATCAAAGATACAAATTAAATCAGATAAATACAAGTTATCTATATCATATCAAGCATATATCATACAGAATGCTGCAATTGTGAGGGACATCATACAAATTGACATAAGAAGTGTCGACATAACACATACACCAACAGATATAATGCATAGTTGCGTACCTTTCTCTTTGTAGTGTTGGGAGCATATCTTTTGGCCATACAAATTACGGAACCACGACGGATTGATCTCTCCCGAGCGCTTAGTGACAACGATCCTGAAAATTTCAACAGACCCCCAAATCTTAAATTTCTCCGTCCTATAATTGGTTGGTAAGAAAAACCGTAAATAAACCCCACCAAACAAATACTCCCGATCACAATACTCAATTGGATGATTTGAATTTGGATGGAAATGTTGGGAATTACCTTTGAGATTGGAGACGAGGCTCAGCGAGAGGGAAGCAGAGAAGGAGAGAGACATGAAAGTGAGGAAGCTTGGAGGAGCGGAAGACGCGGGATTATTGAGAAATCGGTTCCTTAACCCACAAGAAAGCGCCAACTCCGAACGAAACCTTTGAATAATTGTCGCCATCTTCCATG